AATTCCATAATTTGGAAGAGAATTTAAGCAAGCTGAAGGCATGGATCTCCCAGGAGGAACTCCATCAGAGATTGTTGAATTCTTCCATTTGTGCCATGAAATTGTAAAAGAACTCAATAGTATGACAAAGTTCTAAATCTGTATTAACATTTGAATCATTGTATGAGAATCTATATGATGCTTTGTGGTTGTGAAATTATTGACTGATTTGTACTACCGTCGTTTGCTTAAAACCTTGAATTTTGATGGGATCTAATGTCCTTCTAATTTAACGGTCAACTTTAAATTCCCTATGAAATAATAAATTTCTGGAGGAATTTAAAGGGTGCCAGTATTGTGAAAACCTTATGTCTACACAATGCTGGATATCTTACGAAATAAACATAAAGGTAAAACTTATTAAAATTAATTATTATGTTACACAGGTAAGCCAACATTGTGCCTCAAAAGAAAAACTCGGCTGACCAAATTCCCTCCACTCGATCATACAACACGCGATCGCATAGTCATGCAATGGAAAATTCAAACGTGAATGAGTCAGCGGCCTTAAATGATCGGATGTCTGTAGTAGAGTCTAAAATGGTTGAAATAAGTGACATGATGAAACTACTAACAGAGACTCTAAAAGAAAGGAGTGATGATAATCCACCACAGAATACCGTAACAAATGAGAATGCAGCTAATGAGACAATTGAGCTAAACAGAGGGCCAGATCCTGAGGTACCCACACCAGAGAAACAAGATTCTGGGATAGGGGCCTTTAACATACTAGATGGTCCTAGGGAAGATCATACCTACATGTTCCAAATCCCACAAATGTTACACAAAGAGAAGGAGTTGAAAGAAGAACTTGGAGAAATGAAAGATCAATTGAAGGCTCTTCAAGGATCGAACACATGGGGTTTCTTAGACTTGAAAGAATTATGCTTGACCCCAGAAATTGATGTTCCCAAGAAATTCAAGATATCAAACTTCGATAAATATGATGGTACAAGTAACCCAATTTATCATTTGAGGGCCTATTGCACAAAGATGTCCATATGGTCACAAGATGAGAAGTTTCTGATAAACTTTTTTTCCGAAAGCTTAACTGGAGCCGCATTGACTTGATACATGTAACTAAACCAAATCAAGATTAAAAAATGGAAAGACCTTGTGCATGTTTTCATGAGACAATACAAGTTCAATCTTGATACTGCTTCAACTAGAGAACAATTGAAAGCGATAACTAAGAAATCATCAGAATCACTTAAAGAATACTCTCAAAGATGGAGAATAGTGGCTTCACAAGTGAAACCTCTAATGGTGAATTTCGAACTTTGCTCATACTTCATCTGTGCATTGCCTAAGCCATTTTACCAACACATGATAGGAACACATGTTACTGATTTTGCTGATTTAATGGTAATTGGAGAAAGGATTGACACAGACATACGAGAGGGGAAGATAGCCACTTCTCAAGCTGAAAGTAGTTCACAAAAAAACTATGACCAAAAAAAGAAAGAAGGGAATGTGAACTATATTCAACCTGTAAGACAAGCAGCTACCAGTTCTCAAGTCCCTTATCAAATAGAGGGAAGGAATCAAAAACAACAACAATTTGGATTCAGGCCTAACAAGCACGGGTAGGATGGAGAGAGGAGAAATATCCAATCCAGGGATAGTCGCCCATGGCCTAATTTTGGATTAACAAATGCTGAATTGTACCATAAACTTCTTGGTCCATCTTACCCAGCGTGGTATAATCCAAATGCTGTTTGTGAGTACCACATGAGTGCACCTGAACACTCAATAGAAGACCGTGTGACATTTAAAAGGAATGTGCTAGACCTGGTTGATTCTAATCATATCCAACTTAAAGAAGAGGGAATGGGCCATGACATAGAAAGTTATGAACAGTTTAAAAAAGCTGTTAGAAAAATGATGGTGTTAGGGATTGTGTCTATAAAGAAGGGAGACACTAAAGTGTGCATGGTAGAGAAAAAGTATATTGAGCTTGTCATTAATTCAAGCCCAAAAGAACAAGTCCAGACAGTCTTTTTTGTAATCAACAAAGCCTCTGTAGATCTTGCACCAAGACAACCAACATTAACCATAAGCACGCCTCATCCCTTTCCCTATGAAAGTGATTGAGTAGTCCCGTGGAGATATCAAAGCATTGTGGAGAACCACAAAAAACCAATGTTGATTGCCAGGACAAGCAATGAAATAGCAAACCCAGGGGGTGTTACTCAAAGTGGAAAACCATACTTACCATCTTACATTAGGAAAATGGTAAGAGAGAAAAATGCAAATGCTGACAGGCCAAAGGAAGATAATCTTAAAGAAATGGAAAAATTAGAAGATGAGTTTTTATCGATTATGAAGCAAAGTGATTACAGCATTGTGGACTAATTGAAGAAAACTCCAGCGCATATCTCAATACTTTCTTTGATTTTGAATTCCAAAACGCATCGCCAAGCATTGCAAGAAGTGTTGAATCAAGCTTTTGTGCAGCCTAATATAAACCTTGAGAAGGTGGCAAGTGTAATGAATGTTATAAAAGCCTCCTCTACCATTTCCTTTTTAAAAGAGGAAGTTACAGAAACTGCTGTCCACCAAACCAAGGCTTTGCATATCACTTTAAAATGTGAAGGGTTCATAATCACAAGAGTATTAATTGATGGAGGATCAGCATTAAATGTCTTGCCGCTCTTTATATTTGAATCATTATCACTAGAAGCTTTAAGTGTACACAAAAGCAATATTGTGGTAAGAGCATTTGATGGATCAAGACGGGAAGTATTAGGATCCGTTTGTCTCTCCTTGGACATAGGACCAAGCATGTTTAAGGTGGATTTCCAACTCATGAACATAGACCCAAGCTACACAATGCTACTAGGAAGGCCATGGATTTATTCTACTAGGGCTATTCCTTCTACCCTACACCAAAAGGTTTAGTTCATCGGTAATGGGGGAATTATAGCAGTTAAAGGAGAGGAGGAAATCATGGTGAGCAAACCAAGCTCACTCCCTTATATTGAGGCTGCAAAGAAGGATCATGGAGTTTCCTTTCAAAGCTTGGACGTTGAGGGTATTTGTGACAGTACTCATAACATCAATTCCGTTATGGCTAAAATCATAATGAAGAGTGAGTTTATGCCAGGGAAAGGTTTAGGCTCTCATTTACAAGGAATTATGTGTCCAATTAAGGTTTTGGATAATTGTAATCACTAAGGGTTAGGGTATGAGCCTACCCTAGAAGACTAGATGAAAGAAAAAGCAAGTTTGGTGAAAGGTAAAAAGGCTAGTAAATTAGAGATTCCACACATCAAAGAATCCTTCCCAGGCCCATCCAAGGTATCTAAATGAACCAACTATCTCAGTGATCTCTTCTAACGAAGATGTAGCATGTGGAATAAGTGCCTCAATTGCAATCGATGATTCCAGCAAAGTTTTGGCAAATTGGGAATTTGAAAAGGCCAATGATGTCATTAGCTTAGAGTAATTGTTTCAATTATGTTGTTCCTATTTTGTTATCCACTTTTGAGCCCAGGTTTAGGTAATAGATCTTGGGTATTCTCTAATGCAAACTTTTGATGCACGTAATTTATGAAAATGAATTTCAGTTGCATTCATGTTTATCTCTTTATTCCACCCTATCTACTTCAATACATTTTTCCCCATTTCATTCCTGTTCCTTATTTTTATCTCATTCCATATTCATCGTCTAGGGATTTTGTTTCTTCTGATTCCATCTCTCACCCAGAGGTTAATAAACCCTGTGAAGATGATTCACTCGTTGCCACTAATATGCATGATTGTGAGTCTGATGATGAAGACGTAATCCAAACTTTTTTAAGATGCTTGAATTGAGTGATAAGGGAATATGCCTACATGAAGAAGTGATTGAGATGGTTAATATGGGAACCGAGGAGGATCAAAGAATACTCAAAATAATCAATAATCCTGAAAGGGAACAAATGATTGAGTTGTTCAAAAAATACATAGATGTGTTTGCATGGTCTTATAAAGATATGCCTGGGCTAGACCCAAGCATTGCTTCTCATAAAATACCATTACTTCCTAAGGTTGAGCCTAAGAAATAGAAATTAAGGAGAATGAATACAGGGGTGTCCTTGTAAATAAAAGAAGAAATAATAAAGCAGTTAGAAGCAGGATTTTTGGAGGTAGTAACTTACCCACAATAGGTGGCAAATATTGTTCCTGTTCCTAAAAAGGATGGTCAAATTCGAATGTGTGTTGATTATCATAATTTAAATATTACGAGCCCGAAAGATGATTTTCCACTACCCCACATTGATGTATTGGTTGATAATACTGCTTAAAGCTATCGCTATTCCTTTATGGATGGTTATTCAAGGTACAATCAAATCCCTATGCATGAAAGAGATAAAGAGAAAACAACCTTTACAACCCAATGGGGAACTTATTGTTACCGGGTGATGCCTCTTGGTTTGAAAAATGCTAGGGCAACTTATCAATGAGCTATGGTAGCACTATTCCATAACATGATGCATAAAGAAATTGAAGTATATGTAAATGATATGGTAGCTAAATCAGCAGAGAATGAGAGTCATGTTAGAGTCCTTTGAAAGTTATTTGTGAGATTACGCGAATATCGGCTAAGATTGAATCCTAACAAATACATCTTTGGAGCTCTTTCTGGGAAGTTATTGGGATTCATTGTGAGTCGTAAAGGGATAGAAGTAGATCTAGATAAAGTGAGGGCAATTCAAGAAATGCCATCTCCCCAAATAGAGAAAGAAGTTAGAAGTTTCTTGGGACGATTGAATTACATTGCTAGATTCATTGCCAATCTAACAGCTACTTGCGAACTGATGTTTAAGCTGTTAAAGAAAAATTGCAAGGAGACATGGGATGATGATTGTCAAAAGGCCTTTGATAAAATTAAAGATTATTTGTTAAATCCCCCAATTTTGGTCCCTCCATCACCAAATCGTCCACTAATCCTTTACTTAGCAACTTTACCTCGCTCAATGGGAGCAATGCTAGGTCAACATGATGATTCTGGAAAGAAGGAAAGGGCAATTTATTTCTTGAGCAATAAGTTTAACGAGTGTGAAGCTCGTTATCCAATGATTGAGCGAACTTGTTGTGGACTAGTAGGGGCAACTAGAAGGCTAAGGCAATACATGCTTTACTACACTACTTGGCTAATCTCGTGAGTGGACCCACTTAAGTACATCTTTGAGAGCCTACACATTGCAGGTAGAGTACTAAAATGGCAAGTTGTACTATTTGAATATGATATAAAGCATGTGATGCAAAAGTCAGTTAAAGGTAGTGCGATAGCAGATCACTTGGCCGATAATCCTTTAAAGGATGGCCAGCCATTAGATTTTCAATTTCTTAATGAAGGCATATGCACTACAGAAGAAGGTTGTGATGAAGGAAATGATGAAAAGCAAGAATGGGAAATTCATTTTGATGGAGCCGCCAACATGCATGGAAATGGGGTAAGAACGGTGATCGTTTCACCAGAAGGAAAATAATTTCCAGTAGCCATCAAATTAGAATTTGATTGTTCTAACAATATAGTAGAATATGAAGCTTGTGTTAATGGTCTTCGAGCAGCTATTACCCTTGGTATACAGTGTTTGAAGGTATTTGGTGATTCAGCTCTCATTATTCACCAAGTAACAGGAGAATGGAGGATAAAGGATGTAAAATTGATTCCCTATCAACAACTCTTAACAAATTTGATTAAGCAAGTTGAGGTTGTTAGCTTTCATCACTTGACTCGAGATAAAAATCATTTCACTAATGCTTTAGCCACTTTAGCAACAATGATCCAACTTGATTATAGAGTCCATGTCCAACCCATTCAAGTAGAAGCTAGAAGCTTTCCAGCATATTGTTTGAATGTTGAAGAAGATCAAGAAGAATATCCTTGGTTCCAAGATATTAAGGATTATATCACTAAGAGATCATACCCAACTGGAATGACTGAGAATGAAAAGAAAACCCTTTGTCGTTTGGCTATGACATTCTTTATCAGTAAAGATGTTCTGTACAAGAGGGGTTATGATGGTACCTTACTTCGCTGTGTGAGTTCAGAAGAAGCAAAGAAAATTATGGTTGAGGTGTACACGAGGGCATATGTGGCACGCATGCGAATGGTCACACTATGGCCAAACAGATTCAAAGGTGTGGCTACTTGTGGTTAACAATAGAGAAAGATTACTTTGAGCATGTCAAGAAATGCCATAAATGTCATATCTAAGCTAATAGGATAAATGCTCCTCTAATCCCATTACATAATTTGGTATCACCCTGGCCATTCTCAATGTGGGGAATTGATATTATTGGTCCAATTAACCTAAAAGCTTCGAATGGACATCGCTTTATCCTTGTCACGATTGACTATTTCACAAAATGGGTAGAAGCAAATTCATTTGCTAACATCACGCAAAAGACATTCCTTAAATTCATGAAGACAAATATTTTGTGCCGATATGGGATTCCTAAAAGGATCATTACTGATAATGGTCCCAACCTTAATGGAACAGAAGTTAGAAACTTTTGTGAGAAGTTTTAAATCAAGCATAATAATTCGACCCCATATAGACCTCAAATGAATGGAGCAGTTGAAGCAGTCAATAAAAATATTAAGAAGATTATTGAAAAAATGACAGTAACTTATAAGGATTGGTATGAGATGCTTCCCTATGCTTTACATGGTTATCGTACTACTGTACGCACATCCATAGGGATAACCCCATACTCCCTTATTTATGGAATGAAAGCTGTCACACCCATTGAGATGGAAATACCATCCTTGAGAGTATTGGCAGAGGTAGATTTAGAAGAAAATGAATGGGTACGAACCCGATTTGAGCAACTTAACATGATTGAAGAGAAAAGACTCACTGTAATGTGTCATGGATAATTGTACCAAAAGAGAATGGCAAGAGCTTTTGATAAAAAACTTCACCCACAGGAATTTAGTGCTGGTGATCTTGTACTCAAGAAAATATTACCTAACCAAGAAGATAATAGAGGCAAATGGGCTCCGACCTATGAAGGACCTTATGTTGTTAAACATGCCTTTTCTGGAGGAGCACTGATCCTAGCTAACATGGACGGTCAAGAGTTAGCAAAGCCTAATAATGCAGATGCTGTCAAGCATTACTTTGCTTAAATAGAAAATGAAAAAGAAAGAAGTGCTTGTTAGGTTGAAAACCTGTAAAGGCAACCTAGGCAAAAGTTAGAGCCAATAGAAAATGAAAAGGAAAGAATAGCTCGTTGGGTTGAGAACCTGTAAAGGCAACCTAAGTAGAAGTTAGAGCAAAGAACAAGCAAAGCAATGATAAGAAGAAAAGGAGTTCACCAAGACAAAAGGATGTCTTAGGAGAAGAAAAGGAAGGCATCAGAAGTTAAGTATCTATGTTTGGAAAAGTTGACTCCATTGTCTCTCACACTATGCATATCAATGGCAGGTCAGTGAAGCACTTGTTAGGGTTTTGAAAAGCTAAAGGAGAGAGATATGATTAAGTGAATCCACATATCCTATTTGTGCTTTGGCCATTTGTACTCATAAACCAAGATATTCTCATTTCTCCATGAATTTTGGCATTAGAGAATGAATTTTTCCACCCTTGCTCCTTTAAGACCATCTTTCTTCTTTTTTCGTGTTATCATATTCAAATTCATATCTCATATATTACAGCAGGTTCACATTCATGGAACAATATTTATTGATACATTTACTTGACGTAGAATGTTGGTATCTTTATTCTTGCTTTTTGCCCTTGAGGTATCAAGATCATCGCATAGGTGTAAAATGATAACGAGAACATGTGTGCTATCAATATTCAGTTATAATAGTTGATCTCATTAACATGAAGGTAAGATCAAGTGATGAGAATTTGGTCGTTTGAATTTTCTAAAGAGGGGCAACGACATATTGTGATACTACACCTATTAATGAATAAAGGCTAAATAATGGACTTGGAGGTATTACCCTGTATTCAAAATAGTTTATTCAATATGCACGAAAATTTCAAAAAGGAATATATATTAAGATAGTTGTCAACATCAGGCCTTCTAATAATTTTTTTTTGCAATACATTTGCACTATCCATGCATTTGCATTGGGATAAATAAATGCGTCTTACTTTTTGTATTTATTGCGAAAAAAAAGAAGTCTCATAAATTAAGACAAAGGTTCCAACCTTTTTACATTACAAATCATCCGTCCATGATGTATTGTACATATTTTTAGCACCTATGAAAAATCATACATAACGCATTACTACATTACATTCCTTGTCATAGAAATATGCCTCATTTGGATTGGGGCAAAGAAAAATTAAAAAAAAATTAAGGAAGTAAGAGAAGAAATAACAAACCTCACCTGTGAATTTTTCATATTTTCCACGTGAGATACAACCTATTCTCACATCCCCAAAGCCCAGTACCAACTGGCACTATTTTTTAAAAGCCCTATAACAGCAGGCACCCCAAAGACCTGTCACGTCAGGTGCCTCAAAGCCAAGTACCGGCTGGCACGATTCTTTAAAAGCCCTGTAACGGCAGGCACCCCAAAGACCTGTTACAGCAGGCACCTTAAAGCCTAGTACTGGCTGGCATGATTCTTTAAAAGCCCTATAACGGCAGGCACCCCAAAGACCTGTTACGACCGGCACCTCAAAGCCCATACCGGCTGGCATGATTCTTTAAAGCCTTGTAACGGTAGGCACCTCAAAGCCTAGTACCGGCTGGCATGATTCTTTAAAAGCCCTATAACGACAAGCACCCCAAAGACCTATTACGGCAAGGACCTCAAAGCCCAGTATCGGCTAACACAATTCTTTAAAGCCCTGTAACAACAGGCACCCCAAAGCCCTGTCATGACAGGCACCTCAAAGCCCAGTACCGACTAGCACAATTTTTTAAAAGCCCTGTAACAACAGGCACCCCAAAGCCCAGTAACGGTTGGCATAATTCTTTAAAAGCCCTGTTATGGCAGGAACCCTAAAGCCCAGTACCAACTAGCACGATTCTTTAAAAGCCCTGTCACGGCAGGCACCCCAAAGCCTAATACCGGCTGGCATGATTCTTTAAAAGCCCTGTCATGATAGGCAACCCAAAGCCCAGTACCGGCTGGTACAATTCTTTAAAGCCTGTCACGGCAGGCACCCTCCAAGCCTTGTAAAGGTAGGCATCCACCAGGTCCTTTGGAACATAGGCAATTCATCTCCATTAAGGTTTTGTTTTGTTTAGTTCCTAAATCACATTTCATTTTAGACTCTTTGTTTTATTTTGTTTTGTTTTGTTTCTTTTTTTTTTAGTTGTAGGTACCTCAGAGTCTTGCCTCTCCAAACAAAATACATGTTTCTCTCTACATTCATTTCTAAGATAAGAATATTATCTCATGAAATTCTCACTTTGAAATCAAATGAAGAGGGGGCATCTAGTCAACATATATTTTGTTTGGATCATTGTCATTTAGTCATTTTCATTTGCATCACATTGTTAAAAAAAATCGAAATTCAAAAATCATTTTATTGTGTTTTTATCCAATAGTCTTGCATTGTGTTTGGATCTTTGTCAATTGATCATTTTCATTTGCATCACATCATCTCATCACATTAAAAAACAATCATGTCATTGTGTTTGTTAAGCAATAGTCTTGTATTTAATCATATCTTGTCGTGTCAGGGGCAATTAGGTTCTTTCATAGGTATTGCATGGCCGACCAAAATACATGTTCTATCTTTACTTGCCACTTATGTAAGAATTCAAAAGCACACTTTTTCCTATACTTACATAAGAAATAAGTAAAGAAGGGCAACTGTGAACACTGTATTTTGTCCAGATATTTTTAAAAAAAATTAACAAAAATAAAAATTCAACTAAAATATATAAAAGTAAAAAAACAAAATTTAATCCTTTTTAGGATTATGTTTTCAAAATAATAATAATGATTCAAAAAAAACCAAAAATTTTTATTTAAATCTTTGAAAATCTCTCCAAAATTATCTGCTCCATTCAAAATATTAGGAGCTAACTTTTAAGAATCAACTCTTTTGAATTTCTTCCTTTAAATTTTGTTACATTCCAAAAAAAAGAAAAAAGTTATATCTGCTTAATTTAAAATCAGATTTGTTTCCTAACTTTAAAATTAATAAACATGATTAAAAAATTAAATTATTTTTTTAGAAAAAAAACATATATATATATATATATAAATAAATAATAACTGATGGGTTAAACCTTAACCCATCAGTTTTTCGCTCACTTAGTCAGAAGGGCACACAGACACGGTAGAACAGCAGAACAGAGATGATCGGTCACACACACAGAAGGAAAGCAGATGGAGCAAATGAAAAAGCAAAAGAAGGAAGGGAAACCAGAGCACGAGGAGAAGGCATAGAGAGCAGAAGGAAGGCTTAGTCACACGAAGAAGAAAAGCGAAAGAAAGCAAAAGTTTCGGCTGATTTAGAGGAACCCAGAGACAAAGAGCGCATATGGCGAAACAACAACGGTGACTCAATGGAAGAAAAGGAAAAAGCAAGAGGTAGAGACGGTGATCTAAAACTGAAGTGTGTAGCAGTAAGTAATCTCTCTTCTCTTCCTACTCTCTATATAAAGTCTGCTCCAACCGAGAAAAGAGGGGGGAACAAAAAGAATCAAAAAAGAAGAAGACTTCCTGGAGAAAAGTTGAAGAGATTTCTAGAGATTGATCAAGAGATTGAGAGATTCTGGATTTTCTAAAAGAATCCTACATTTAGAGAGAAACGAGCTTTTCTGAAAAAATAAGAGAAACAGAGAGGAGGAGACAACCGAAACATTAAGAGATGAGTGTTTTCAAAAAAAGAGAGAGAAGAAAGCGATCAGGAGATTATTGAAGAAGGAACCGAGGATTTGAGATTTTGCTTCTACCTGGGGAGAGAAGACGAGAAGGATCGAGGAAGAAGAGGATTTTTGAAGGATTGAGGATTGATAGGTTTGAGAATTCTTTCATTTTTTTTATGATTTAAATTCTCGTTCTGCCTTCTAATTCCACTTCAGGTTCTACTCCATGAAATCTAATTTGTGAGGTATTTGTCTTATTCAAAGTTGTATAGATTGAAAGGCTGAACCATTTTTTCGAACGTTTGCTAAGTTTGCTTGTAATAAGCCTAATGATCCTATTCTGTTAGCTAGTTACTCTGGGTTTACG